ACTAACAGAATCATGACAATACAAACAAATTGGCAAAATAAATAAATGACAACACAAATCATTCATTCTTCATTAAATCTCAAATTATATTGGTAAAAAAAATAGTAGGTTTGTAGATGCATAATGCCTGTGCACTTCTATCTGAAAGGTCCCTGTCAACCGATCCCTGTTATATAATAGCTGGTTTGCTCATCGGCCAATCATTGTACAGAAAAAAGTGAAGCCCAAGTGACTTGCCAATTTAAACAAATTTCTGGTGGCATTTGCTGAAATTATTAAAAATAACAATTGTTGCAATACATTTTAATAATTAAAATTTAACGTAAGGATATTTTCCAAATCATCTAACAAAAGTATGAGATGTTGCGTTGTTAATGCTGGTTGAAAAGTTTTGTGATGTGACATTTTCTGCTCCCCTACACGACGTCAGTTAAACCAAACAATGAGCAATCCAGCTATTATAGTAGAGATCTGTGTTTCTGCTTCATCAGGGCCATAAAATATCTTAATACAGACTTTGAGAGTTGCGTGTTCTGCAAGTACATATTTATTATAAGTTTCACGTATATTTCGGTTGTTCCTACAACCTTCTTCAGCGTGTAAGTATATATATATATATATATATATATATATATATAGAAAAAAATTCCTGTGAGAGAGCATATCAGCAGGTGCATGCACCTCTAACACGACACGCTGTCCAATATTGTTGGTATCCAGACGCAGTAGTACAGTATGCACTATTTGAACTAATGTTAATACTGTCTTTGAGGTGCCCTAATTTCAGGGGCGGATCCAGGATTTGAAATGTTTCCCCAAAATGAAAGGGGGTCCGGAAAATGTTGATTCCTAGATGGCTGGAAGTGAGCTTTTTTGTCTTTTAATGACCTTTAAGTTCTTCAAAATTCAAGGTTTTCCCCCTCTTCAAAAAAGTCAGGTAATTATTTTTCTCATTATTTAGGCCTATACATAGACAAAAAAAAAAAAATAGAAAAAATCAAAGACATATTATTATATTCCAACAATATTGAGTAGTTTGTAATTATTTTTTCTTCCATGTATTGTTAAACCGTAAATTATTACGACGTCGAACCAAAAACAGTCGTGTATAATTTATTTAATTATAGACTAGTTGAGCTAAGCCAAGTTGGTCTGATCTGCCAACATAGGTTAGCATGCCTTTTGTAAGCCAGGACCTAGTAGTATTTTGTTACGTTTCTTCACAGAGGGGGGTTCGTCCGCACCCCCTGAATCCCGCTGGACCGCCACTGCTAAATTATGTTAATACTGGTAATATTTTTTGTCATCATATTTCTTGTCAACACTTACGCACTCTCGTGCTGCAGTCCTTATTTTTGTAAATCAGTGAATTTTGATCCTTTTAAATGAGAAAATTTTAAGGCTCTTTCCCAAATTGTTTTTTGGCGGTTAAGCCAGTTACCATCCTATTTCACAACAATTTCAACCTTGTTATAAATTTGCTTCACATTGTTGGCATACAATGATATGTATTTCATATTTGTAATTTTACAGCGAAATTATAATTTCATCCACCAGAAAAAAAACCTTTTTTTTAGCTATGTCAAACTTGAAATGATGTTAGATCTTTCATTAACTGTACCTTCAGTCAACTGCTTGCTGTGCTTGCAAATATTGTCTACAAAAATACTTACATAGCCCCCTCATGCATCTTGTAACAAAGATCTTATATCAAGATAGCACTCTCTGCAATTTTTTGCATGCAAATCCTGTAACAATGCATTGTAGGGCACCCTATTGTAATTACAATTACTTTTCAACTTTGACATGATATTCATGAAAATTCTGTAACAACCAAGGTAACAACTCTGTCAATTACAATTCCTTTCTGCGTGAATGGACGCTTCTATTTTGTTACTGAGAGCGCTATCTTGTTATTCTAATTTCAGTATATTTGCAATTGACATTCTACAGAAAATATTATTCAGGAATAAAAAATTGACAATGAAGAAAGCAAGAAACATCATAATTCCATGTAATAGTTAATTATGTACACTGTATCAGAATGACACAAGTTATACAAAATATGAGAATATTGTTTTTATTATAAATCCACCACATGTGACATTTTTTTATAATGGCTTTAGTATGTTTCCATAAATCATAAACTTGATATAATTGTCACAAATTGTTCATAACAAAGTCTTTGTATCAGGACTCATATGTACCATTTATATATGGTACTCAAGAGCAGTTACCAAGGATTTGCAAATGGTTTTTTAGGAATCGCTTGTCTTTGTTTGTGGCGAGGATGCGTTTTGCAGAGTAAGTACAGTCTCTTTTTCCTCCATACAAAATAGCAGTCTCTGCAACGTTTTCTCAATGCAGACTTAACTTTAAATGTAGCAATACTCTGGTAGGTTGTCATCAATGGCTTGCTTTCCAGTACAGTATTTGAAGGCAGTCTACTTGTTGCTGGAACAATTTTGTGTCCAACCATCGGCCTTGTTAGTGTTGAGAAGGTTTCATGTAAGCTTGCGGAAACTGATGGTATAATTGGTTGCAAGATTTTCAATCTTGATATTCCTCGTAGAATGTTTATCATTTTGCCTGGGGTAGTGAAACTAAAATTCCTTTAATGCTTTCAGCCTGGTATTAATATCCTGAAATATAAATGAAGTAGGTATGTTAGTCTCATAGTAGCCAACCGTCAGACTCATGGATAATTTAGTGTTTGCCAGTTTTACTACGTGATAAACAAAAACTCACAGATTTCAAGGTTATGCATTCAGACTTCTCAGTACTACGGATTTAGGCCTATTTTCTATGGAAATTTACAAAAATACTACAGAAATTTATCAAAGATATTTATATTATAGGCCTGGACCCATAAATAAATAGGTCTAATGTCCAGAACAATTTAGTTTTCCATCAGGATCTTTGGTTACATTGTCCCTAGACATCTCATACTTGTCGGATTACTGATAAATTGTTGTGAAAAGAAAAAGTGACCCCAAAATTTGTGTTTTATTTGTTGAAATTCCACATCAAATTACATACTTGTTATCGGGCCCAAAGACGATCAGGCCCAATTTCAAAATAATTATAACTTCATGCTTATACCTTGCACTCAAGGTAAATTATTAGGTGGTGGTACGGAAATTTTGCATTTACAAAGGAATTTTGAAAACATAGTTACGGAAAAGCATTTTATGAACTTGAGAAACCTGAGGATTTAAAAATTTGTTTACACTAATAATGATTATGAACAACGGTATACATTTCCACAAAAGAATCATTTGCCATTCATCTGTTATCTTTTAGTGTTTAGCAAAGTAAATAGATAGGCAAGGGAGCTCAGTACACTTGTTGGGGGTGTAAACAACAATACACCTGCTGCCCATTTGTACTGTATGCTTTTTTATTACCCATTACGCACACGGTTTGTTTCCTTATCTGTTTTTCACATGTTACAGTACATAGAATAGAACCCTGTTTTTTTTTTTTATCCCCACCCTTCACTTCCCCATGTTACTGCATTCCCACATTTTTTGTAAAACAAGGCCTATCATAGTTGAAGTTGAAAAACCAAGGCTAATATTAATAGGCTCACTAGAAAGACTTGCAGGCATATACATTGGCAGATTAATTCAAACAGGACCCAGCACCCCACCCTCAAAATTATAAAGAGAAAAAAAGAAAATGATATTAAAATTTAAGTCTCTAAAGTGCCATTTTTCCGGACATCTTGGGGTGTCATAATCATAAATTGTATTACCTCAGCCCCAACCATGGTGAGGCTGATGTGGTATGTATCCCCTCCCCACCAATCTGTGAAACTCCTTCACTATATATAGGCCCCCTGAAAAAACTGGAGGCCTTTTTCATGAATCGGTAGACATCTTGAAGTAATTACAAACATTGCAAATCAGCGGTGTGTAACCAACAGAAAAAAGATAAGATTTTGGGCTGATTTTCTGACATCATGTTATTTAAAAAATCATAACTCCATAACGGGGCATCGTATCCAAAAAAAATTTCCAGCACAATGTTCTTAAAAGACTAGTTTACACCACTATATGATTGAAAAAAAAATTGAAAAAAATGTTTTTGACTTCTGAAATCAAGATGGAAAAAGAAAAGCCTATCTACAATCTTGATTTAAGAGGTCAACAAAATTTTTCAATCATATAGTGGTGTTGACTAGTCTTTTAAGAACATTTTTTCTGGAATAATTTTTTGGATACGATGCCCCGTTATGGAGTTATGATTTTTTAAATAACATGATGTCAGGAAATCAGCCCACAAGCTTATCTTATTTCTGTTGGTTACGCACTGTTGATTCGCAATGTTTGTCATCACTTCAAGAAGTCTACCAATTCGTGAAAAAGGCCAAACTATGGATGGGTAACAAGTTAAAATATTATAAAAAATAATAAGCTATAATTTTAGAACAATCAAAAGTTGGAAACTTTCCCCTAGTTTAGTACCAAGGCCCCTCCCTACCTAGGCTAGCCTAGGCCTAGTAGTAGGCTAGTGCAACAGGGCGTAGGCCTAGGCCTAGTATGAGTGTCGGGACAAGCTAAGCCATCCACATGATGAGCCTACCCTAGTAGGCCACCCTAGAGTGAGAGAGTAGTACTAGTAGTTATGTTAGGCTTAAGGGAGTCCATTTAAGCGCCTCACACCTACAGGGCTTTAGGATTATGTACGCCATTAAATCAAATATATAATTATTAAATATCAATAAAAAATAAATAAAATTGACGTACCACACTCCCCTCTTACAATTTCAATTTCGTCTGCTTCTTCCCAAACGAAAATGTGTGTGCCAAATAATAATAACAATCAAAATAATAATGCCTACAAATATTACTAGGCCTATATTGATAATATTGCGCGAATTCTAAAAATACCTTTGCAGAATAAATTTGCTTTGAGAAAATATAAAAAATACTGTAATACAGTATAAGATAATACTCAAAATAGTCTTAGTTTTGTTTTAAAGATTGACCTCAAGATTGACCAAACTTTGAGGTCAGCAGAAACAAAATGGCAACCATTCGTGGATTTCACCGTCTAGGCCTCGGCCTAACTTGGAATCGTGTGCGTTTGCACCTTATACAGAGAACAAGGCCTAGCATTGTACTGTCGAGACAGTGTACTACCGAAGAGAAAGTTACACACACCGGTCAGGTAAAATGGAAAGGAGCGCCCGGCAAGCCTAGGGCTAGCGTAGGCTAGGCCGGTAGGGTAGACTAGCTAGCTAGGCCTAGCTTAGGCCTAGCCTGGCCCTAGGTGGGCCTAGGCTACAGTAGGCTAGCCTTATTTAGACAGGCCTAGGCCTACCACCACATTAGACACTAAGGGCCAAGGCGTAGGCCTACCGTGTCTATAGGCGTAGTCTAGCTAGGACGTACTGTAGTAGTAGGCCACCCGGACACGGTTACTGATAATATATACCTACAAACAAGGTAGACCTGTCCTAGCATAGGCTATGGCCCAGCTGCAAAGTTTTTTTAACTGCGTGCGTGGATGATACCTCAACTCAAAAACCAGCTCAAATTTGCACGGAAAATTGCTAGGAAAATTGGTGCGCAGATTCGTAATTACTGCGTACAGTAGCCATAGTAGTAATTATTTTTATAAATATAGGCCTACATTGTTATTTTTTAAGATAAAGTCAAAGTTTTACTTTCAGCAAAATCTGTGCGGAAATCGGCCCTTATTTTTAGAAGAAATACTGTAGGCTTAGGCTATGTGGACTGATTTCTAGGCAAAATTTTAGCACGGAGGATATGTTCACCATGCAGGCCTTCAGAGGTTCCAAACCTCCTGATTTAATTGGGAGTTTTCCGAATTATGCTATTTCACCTGGGCTCCCAAATTTGTTCAAGTTCTCCCGAATTTTAAAAACTATAGTCTCTAGGCGTAGATTTGTTGTACTCACAGTACGACAACCTAACATACTGCCCGTAAGTTACATGGGATTTGCACAGTAAAATAGATGAAATTATTATATTAGGCCACATGAATGAAAAACCCAATAGATATCTTATAGATTACGTTTATATACCTCAAAAGGCGTTAATGCTATTTTGATGTTGAGGACGCTTTTTACTAAATGGTGGGAATGGCGGCACCCTTCACCTGCACATTCTCCATTCTCCCGATTTTTTAGGTCTAGGGGTTGGAACCACTAGGCCTTGCAGTACTTTACAGTCTGGAGCTTGGACATTATAATCTGGTTTGGGTTACCAATTCAGGTGTGATGTGTAGAAATAATTACTTTAAATTATAATAGTAATAATGATAATATTTAATAATCATAATACTCAAATTATTATAGCCTAGCTGGGCAAGGTTAGACCTACTGTAGCACTTAATTTAGACCTAATGTTAACAAACTTTGAGGTGCGTAAGACAACAACATATTAACAAATGTGATTTAAATTTAGACCAATGTAAAAAAAAACAACAACAACAATAATAAAATACAATCCAAGTGTGAGATTAAAATGAGCAGTGGCATTAGAGATGGTGACATTCACCCACCCACCTATCCCTGCCAAACATAGAATGATATGTGCAGATGTGCAGTCATTGAATTCCCATACATCACATGGAAACCAAAGAAGTTTAATTTATTTTGTGTATAAATATAAAATACTTCTTCGCATATTTAGTCCAATAATTATATTTAATTTTACAGGCCTTTGAAGAGTCTGATGTGAGGCGAGCACGGTTTATTTCCAGAGAAAAAATGGTAAGTAAATGCTAAGTACATAAATAATGGGACATTGCATTAAAAACTTGAGTGTGGTAGATATTGTATTATTAATTAACATGAACATTTTTTTATATTTTCTTGCATATATTGTTTCTCAGGCTTTTTTCAATGTAAATATTGTTTTACTATAAATTTAATGCAGAAAGTTACCTTTGATGGTTGAGTAGAAAACAACTTTGAGTTGCTTTTTAATCATCGTTTATATGAAGTGGAGCAATATAGTTGGGTGGTAAAATGTATAATGGATCATGATTTTACATTACTTACATTGCAACATCACATAAAAAGTATCTTATGGTCCACCAGCATTGGTGTCAGCATTTTCCAACAAGTAGTGTCCTTGCTCCCTGACAAATTGGCCACACCAACCTCACCCCCACCATGGTTGTGGCTGACGTGAAAAAAATTGGATTACATCACTTTTAAATGACGTCTCTGGCTTAGAAAATGATTCTTATTTTTTTCTCTGACAACTTTCACCATGATTCCCTGAGGGCTGGGCTCGTTGTCTTTGTCGGCTAGGCCCAAGCCCCACCACCCCACCTGCTTCCACTGCCCCTGTGGTCCACAAATTGACTTGCATACATTCACATCCATAGGCGTAGATCCCGGTGGGGATGGGGGATATATCTTCCCCCTCCCCTAATTTTGACAAGGGGGAGATGGTCCATTGTATCATCCCCCCAATATTTTGACTGTATGGGAATAAATGGAGCTTTACGCTCTTCAAAAGACTATCACAGAAATAATTTGCAATGTCTTATGCGCTTTCAAAGATGAAAATTAGCATAATGTATTAATGTTGATAACAAACTTATTTTATCTAAGCTCTTCTTAGATATTAGATGTGCTTGCAAAGCAAGCCACATTTTCACACTGAATGTTGTGAACGACATCAGTAATTTTATGTCGGTCCCAAGAATTTTCAATTATTCCCCCCAATGAAAAATACTTTTCTACGCCACTGTTCACATCGACAAAAGACAAGAATAGCTAATTGCATTTGTTTATTTGTTTTTGCTTTGCTGTAGGTGAATGAAAACTTCGCAATAGACATGATAGCTGACGAGCCTCCAACTGAGGTAGATGCAAGACATGTGTGGTGTAATGGTGGCGGCGGACCTCTAGGCCATCCTAAAGTCTACATCAATCTTGTAAGAATATTATTTAAATTTTTGGGGTTGAACCATTAGGCGAGATTTTTTTTTATACCTTGTTTCACAAACATATTTTTTTAAAGATCGTCAGAGGAGGGTGGAAAAAAACAATATTTTCTTTTTTAGCAAATGGATTTGCCAAAAATATCAAGCTGGAAGAGAAAATAGAATAACATTTTATTTTTGATATCTGTGAAGTGGGTTGCAGCAAATTGCCTGGACATGATTTGTGTCATTGTGCAAAAAGTATTATACTACTGTATTACACAGTATATGAAAGGTAGGAAGTATATATAATTTTGTGCTTTTGATAACATATTGTGTTTTTTTCACTGTTGCAGGATCCCGAAGGACCTCATTCATGTGGCTACTGTGGGCTACGGTTTGTAAAAAAGCCGCATTAATATGGAAGTCTGTATTCTACTGTAAACCACGAGAACTGATGTGAGCATGCATTAGGCAAATGTCCAATGCTGTTATGTTTGCAAGTTGAATCCTAGATTTCAATACATGTCCATGTGTGCAAGTTGAATGTTGTCAAGAAAGCGTGCGGATAATTTACAAGGATTGTAATATCATGACCACATTTGACGATAAGCAGGAAGATTGTGACAGATGTATTTACATACATGAAGCTTGTACACATTGAACGTGTATGTTACATGTAATACGCTGAATTGATGTAGAACTATTAAGAAATGAATGACAATATATTTCAATTTGGCATCCAAGGAGTTCAAGACAATTATCTGTATGATCTAATTAGTTCATAACCTAAAAAAACCTATTCATGCTTGTATATAAAATATTAACATTTAGTTTTGAAAGGTTTGAATAAAAACATTACAGAAATTAATGCTCATTTTATCTTTGTTCTTATTGTAGCTTTGTATATTATATTTATAATAAATTGATACTAATACTGTGTACATATTATACATTGAATATTCAACAGATGGTTTTGAAGAGTAATAGAAAAAATACTGTAAAACCTAGAATTGATGCCGTGGGATTCTTTTTTCTTTTGTTAACTTTGGATGAGTTTCTATTCGAGATGAGTTTCCTTTCGAGGCTATTTTTGCAAAGAAGGGGAGGGGGAACTTCTTTTCAAAATGAATGAAAAATCGCGCCTCCTTACTTGAGGTAGCACCGCCAACTTAGCAGTGCACGTTAGGGGAGCCATATAGGCCTATCCTTGGTGGAAGCTACCGGAGCCCAGCAAACTGATGCCGAGGTACCTGTGTGTACACGGTAGTGATGGCGACGCTATCTCAAAATCGGGGGTGCGCACTCCCCCCCCCCTTTCGCGTTCTTTGTTTCTTGTGGCTTCAAAAGTGCCTTGAGACGGTTTTCTGTGGGCGCTATACAAATATATGACCATTAAATGCTGAATTATTGGGAAAAACTAACATAAAACAATAGGGCCACTGTAACATCAGTCTTATGTAGCGTATTAACCGGCATTAAACTACTGTATAAACCAAGCATGTTTTTAATGTATTTTGCCCATGGGCATCTTTTAGAGATACTTCTTTTCCAGACTACTTTTGCAAACTAAAGTTAGATTGTTTGATTCAACTCGAGATGGGCTTCTCGCCCATTGTGCTTCTATTCAAGGTTTTACGGTAGGCTCTACTGCTTGCACTTTCTATGAAGACTCGATTTGCGTTTGGGGGGGGGACTTAATTTCTATTTTTAGCTAAGTTATGAAGCTAAGTTATGATGCAATGTATCCCATAATTGCTCTCTTTGAACTCGCAAACTAGATTTACCCTCAACTTACAAGTGGGACGATCTACAGCCCCCGTCTGGTTGCATTAGTCAAAAAACACAATAAGAATACATTGACATCGCTTTTTATCGTTGCATCAAATATTATCTAAGTTAATACTACTAATGGCCATGTCACACCTTGACGATTTAGCCAGTATATGCCGTAAGTATGAAAAAATGGCGAATACGCTGGCGTACGTCGAATAAGTTCATTTATTCATTCATTCATGGTTTATTCCAAAATGTGTCGCAGTTAAAACCTGAATTACAACAAATGGCTACAATATAAAATTGTTAAAATTTACAAATATACAAAACATTGGGAATATATTTACAAATATTTAAAACATAGAAAAACAACGACTCAATAAGATCAATATATAAAAACGAATGAAAAATAAACGCAGGAAACCTAGAAACCTAATATGCAGTACTTATCATTATCATCATCATAAAAATTATTATCCTTATTATATTTATTACTATTATTGTTATTATTATTACTGTATTATTATTTATTTATTTATTATTTATTATTATTAAGAGCATTGACAAGAAAAGGAATGGGGCTATTTTTGTAATGCAAAGTGTCAAAAGGTGGGCAGGTAAGATCTTTATTGTTTCTTAGTTTATAATTATGCATCCGTTCTCTTAAAGGAGGAAGCCAATTACGGAATTCACTTTTGAGCAAAGATTTGGCAAATGATTTGCATAACAAGGTAGGTTGAGTTTTTTGGAGAGCATCATGGTACGAAACGTAGTGCCTGCCTAAGATTATGCGGCACGCACGTTTTTGGACTCGCTCAATAATATTGTTTTGCTTATTAGTGAGACCGGGGTGCCAAACCGGCGCAACATACTCCACAGTAGGTCTAACATAACCCATGTAAACGGTTAACAAGTTTTTGCAAGGGATTGAGAATGTAGTTAAAAGTTTAAGCATATGTAATTTACTATTGGCACGTTTTGTCATATCTTGAACCTGGAGATCCCATTTGAGATTAGAGCTAAGATGAACACCAACAATTTTGACAAAGTCAACTTCTTTAATGACCTTTCTACATATCAGAAGTGGATCTAGGTCAAGTGCTATTTTCATAAATGTGATGTTCATACAAGCACATTTAGTCGGATTAAGTTTCATAACGTTTTCTTTAGCCCAAACCTCTAAAGTATCCATTTCTTTTTGCAAAATGCGTTTTCCAACGCCATTCCCAAATGTTGATTCTACAATCGTCATATCATCAACATACTTAAGAGAAGTTAATTTTTTAGAAATCGTTGCATCATTATTCATACAGAGACTATGTCACTTAATGCAGGCGTTCCTTGTGGAACGCCTGCATTTTAAGAGTGACATAGTTGGAATTTGTTCCTTGGTAAGAGACGAACTGCTTTCTTTTAGTAAGAAAGCTGCAAACCCAAGGTCTGCAAACTCTGGTCTCGCACCTAAAGACAGCATTTTAGTTATTAAGATGGTATGGTTTATATAGTCAAACGCCTTGCTATAATCAGTTATAACAAGTCTCGATATGAGAGTTTTTCTTTTCAGTATGCTTAGCTAAGGTGTCAATCAAATTAACAAGGTAATGAGCAGTTGATCTATTAGGACGGTTGCCATACTGGTTTGGGTCCAAATTTGGTTTGATATCTTTATATAGCCAATTAACTACAAAACCTTCTGCTACTTTTGCAAAATGATCGGTAAGAGATATAGGACGAAGCTTGTCATGTGTTGCTGTGGCTGTGATTTGGGTAAGGGGATAACCTTGGCAAGTTTCCATTGTTGTGGCATGATTCCTTCTTGAATCTTGAAAAGAGGAGTTAATAACTGCCGTTAATGGTTTCATAAGCAAATTCCTTGACAATGTTTGGGATTTGATCCGGGCCACAAGCTTTACTAACTTTAGTTTTTTTTTCAGTTCGCGATACACATCCCATGGTTCCACAATGGGAGGGTTTTCATGCGGTGGTAGGTAAGCTGGGAGTTCAGTTAAGTTAAGTTGCGGGATGTCAGAAGCTATAGAAGCAAATGCATCATTGATAAAATTTGCATCCTCGACCGAGTTGTTATTGTCGATTTCAGATGGCATTCTTTGCCAGTGTCTGCTTTCCTCGACCCAACTAGATATTTGATACTTTGATGCCAAGCTGCGGGATCACTTTTCTTTTGTTTCTGAATGCGTGTTTGGTAAAAGTTCTCTTTACATATTGATATTTCCTTGATTATCAGGTTACTTAGCTGTTATTGGTTATTGGTAAGTTTCGTGTAAGTGAAGAGCACGCTGAAGCACGCTGGTATACGTCCTAGTACGGCGAGTGCGTCGAAAAGTTTTGTGCATGCACGCGGGCATAAGTTGTAGGTAAGTTAAGCGATCGTTGACACACATTGACACACGTTATTTTAAGTTAATCAAAAGTCAAAAAGTATTTCTAACCCATGAGTAACGTGCTTCGAACTTTATGTAACTTATAACTTACCACCAACGTATATTGACGTATGTAGACGTATTTGACGGGTTCCAGACGACCACAAAACTTACTGAACGTGTTAACTTACAGTTATCGTATAATTAATGGCGTATTGGCAGCGTTTATGGGAATAGATATATATTAAAATGGGTCGATAGTTAAGTGTATGCCAGCCGTTTTAGAGAAATGTTGATACGTTTGGCATACGCTGACTAAATCGTCAAGGTGTGACAGGGCCATAGGCCTATAACAGTTTTGCAACTACACTACTACTACCAATACAGTGCAGCTGCTACTACTACTATTACTACTACAGTACTGCATCTCTACTCCCCACTAATACAGTACTGCAGCTACTACTAGTACTAATACAGTACTGCAGCAACTACTATTGTTTTTTTTTTTGTTTTTTTTTTTTATTGCTTTTAACATACATAAAACAACATAATATAATATAATGCAATATTACAATACACAATCTCATCTTCTAAAAAAATTATTTGCATTACAAAATCCAAAACCAATATAATATACTGTACTGTAA